TGCGTGCCGAGTTTATATGGTAAGGTATGCCGCCGGCCCGCTCGTCCCGGCCCTGGCTTGGCGGCGCGGGGCAGGTCTGGGGCAGGGGGCAGGGCTGGTGTAGGGCCGGGAAGGGTCTGGGGCAGGGCTTGAGTAGGGCCGTGGCAGGTCTGAGGCAGGGCTGGAGCAGGTCTGGGCCAGGGCTGTGGAAGGTCTGGGACAGGTCTGGGGGCGGGGCTGGGGCGGGGCTGGTGTAGGGCCGGGGCGGGGCTGGGGCAGGACTGGAGTAGGGCTGGTGTAGGGTTGGGCAGGGTTGGAGCAGGAATGGAGCAAATATGGAGCAGGGCTGCGGCAGGACTTGGCATGGCTGGAACGAGGCAGGGCGGGGGCAGGCGGCACAAGGGCCGCGTAAGGCAGACGAACCGACGGACACCGCTGCGCCCGAATTCACTGCAAGGCCTGCTAAAGCTGTAGGGACGTTGCCTCGTAAGAAGCGCGGGACAAAGGGGAGTCCGCCTTACGGCTGGGTGGAAGCAGGCTTCCCTCTGCCGCAAACGTTAAACAGCACCGAGCGCCGGTCGACAAAACACGGTAGCGAGGGTCTTCGTTCGGTGGATTGGGGGCGCAGAAGTCTGCCGGTCAGGCTGGCTGGAGGCGGCGCGTTTTTGGACGCCTTTTTGTGCTGGTTTTTGCTCGTCCGCCGTTCTTGGCGGGTGGCCGGCTCGGCGCTGCCAGGAAGAAAGCTGCTGTCTTCCCATCGAAGCCCGGTTGTAGCTTTACGAGCTGCTTGGACCGCCTGATATTGATGCGCAAGCCCGCTGTTCGGAAGAACTGATCAGCCTTTTCTGTTTTGGTGTCGGCTTTTATCATCCCGTTCGCTGCGTTGGCCCCGCCTTTGCTCCGCATCGCCGGTCTCGATATTGGTCTGGCATCATGGTGGCGCAGTGCACCCTGTTCCGCTCAGCTGGGGCATAATGGTGGCGCGGCACACCCTGCTGCACCCAGCTGGGACATCATTGTGGCGCGGCGCACCCTGCTGCACCCAGCTGGGACATCATGGTGGCGCGGCACACCATGCTGCACCCAGCTGGGACATTAATGTGGCGCGGCACACCCTGCTGCACCCAGCTGGGACATCATGGTGGCACAGCGCACCCTGCTGCACCCAGCTGGGACATCGTCCCCGTCCCTGGAAACGTCTTATTACGCTGCGTTATGGAAGCCATCCTGGTCACGTGGTCTGGGTCATCGTTCATGTTGCTCCATCCTCTTTCAGCAACGAGTGCATTGCCTGGTAATTTGTGTTTCATTGTAATGAATCGTGAAGCGCCACGGAGCTTTGCTAAGAAGTGCGTGACACTACAAAGCCTCTAAAACTAGACTGGTGGGCTCCGCTCCTGCCGCCGAGGTCTGTTGGCGGACGGCGGGAGGCGCCTCCTCCCAGTCAGGGCACCCCCTGACAGCGACGTTCGCTCGTCGGTCAGCAGAAGTCTGCCCCTCTTCCTGTTGTTGCCGCCACGACCTTTGCCTTTGACCCCCGCCGGGTGATCGGCGAGCAGGGAGCAAACTGAACCAACGCTGGCGGGAGATTCATGTTACGGCGACGTTTTCGCCTCTCTGTTTCCCTCTCCCCCTCTCCCTCCTTCCCCCCCCCCCCCCCCCCCACCTCGTCCATACACACATGCAGTGCTCCTTACGTTCCATTTGCGGGGCGCGCTCAAAGGAGAAGAGCGAGTGTCGATGTGCAGTCCGGAGCGTCCAAAAAACCTCATTATGATCATGAGAAGCATTACAAGACTTGTCATCGTCAAAGCAATGGTGTTGACCGCTGACCAGCCCCGTAAAGCTCAGTGTCTGCTCGTGTGGCCGAAGCCAGCGACAATAATGATGCTGACCACGGGAAATGTTTGTTTCCGCCGTCGACGGTGCCGATGCCTCGAAGGCCGATAACGCGGCTTGGCTTGGTTGGCTGAATGACCAAGCGCCTGTTCCACATCGTCCTGATCGGCGCCCGCAACGATAAGCGGCGGTCGCGTCTGCAACACTGCCCTCCAGCCGCTGGCGGCCCCCCCCCTCCCCCCCCCCCTCCAGCACCGCCCTCGCTGAGGTGCGGCCGGCGGTCCAGCTGTGCCGCGAGTCGTCGAGTGTTACAAGCGATCAGCTGGGATGAAGTACGGCGCGGTCAGGATATTTACTCTGTCTCACACGAATCTCCCTCGAGGTCTGTTCGGTGTTGGCTGTGAGAAAAGCGTTCGCGGTTGGTTGTTGGAGTGGCGGAAACGTTCCGCTGCTTTGTCGCTCGCAGTAGGAACCTTGGGAATATTGAACACACCTGGTTTGACGAAGCCTGGCGACACGCTTGTGTCAGTGATGACATAGTGCCTAAATAATTCACCCTTTCCTGTCTCTTTAAGTTTGTATTGTTTCCACGCAATTGAACATGTTTTAGTTGTTACGGCCGGGGTCTCCTCATGTGTTATTCCTCTAACTAACATATGTGCTTGCTGTCACACTGATGCAGTCATGTGCACATGTGCAGCTGGTGCAGTGGAGACAGATACGAACCATGTCACACCCAGTTTTTCCGCCTGAATTTGTGCAAACGAGGTCTGGCTACACGGCCACACCCCGGGTTATCGGCCATTTCCCACGCGACTGAGCCCAGGCTGCCCACGCCCATTCCCGCCGGCGGCCCGTGGGCGGCAGCCTGGGAGGTCGGGCCGTCAGCGGGGCTAAAACAGAGCCGTGGGTGTCTCCGCCGTCCCGCCGGGACGGCGGAGACTGAGAGACCCGGGAGAGGCTGGAGGGAGAGGGCACCGCGGCCTTCTGGCGAGCGTGGCCCCGCCGTCGGGCTCGGTGTCGGCCAGGCCCGCTGTCTGTGGGGGCCTGACCCGGGGGTGACTGCCGGCGCTGGGGCAGGGGAGGGGCCTAAGCCTCTGGACGGTGCTGGAAATGATCACGTCGGCGCCTGCAATAAGTACATTATTTCATCAAGCCTCAGCTCTCACGTCCAGTGGCTTCGCCGCGAGATCGTTGAGTTTCTTGTAGGAGCTTCTTGCGCGTAATGCCACGGGCGTCACGTTTAATTTGCCAAAACTGTGTCCCCTGCACCACGTCCCGCGGCGGAGGCCTAGCGAGCAACAGTCACCGGGATCAGTGATGTCATCAATAGCGTTCAATGATGGTGTAAACCACCGTGGTTAGTGATGCCATCACTGGTGCTTTGTGATGCCACGTGAGCCTGCATGCCACGAAGCCGTGAGGCAAAACCAGCCGACAACGCTGGAGCCTGGCCCGTAATTTGTGCCGGCGGACTGTGGCCGGTCGTCGCGCTACCTGTCGCGCACGTCACCAGAGGGCCACCGACGCCCTGCGTCTGCTGCCAATCTCCCGTTCGCCGTTCGCGCTCATGGCGGCGGCTACGGCTTTTGGTGGGTACTGGCGAGCCTGTGGGACCCAAGTCAGAGCCGCCACTACTCGGCTTGTCTTTGCGACGCAGCTGCCACCTGGGTCATATGGATCATATGGTCTAACCCCTGGACGGGTATTTAAAAAGGTTATGGGAGCGGGAAAGTTCGGATTTCCCTCCAAGTACAGATATTGCGATCAGATGTTTCAGATGTTGTTATGCATGTATGCGTTTTATCTTTTGGTGATTTGGGTGGAATATGGATGGGCCCGAGACAACCATTGGTGTGTGCGAGGGATGAGGTGGGAGGGGCTCCAAAGAGACACAACCTCCGCCCGTGATCCGCCACGACCCCCGACCATCACCGAGCGACCTAGTGGGACGTTTTCCTCCCCACCTCTGCCCTCCGAGGTTGCGTTATGATTTCTCTCGGCCGGGAAGTGGAGCGTTGTTGTTGCCGTCCATGTTGCCGCGTGAGGCATCGGACCGGCTCAGTTGCCACGCCGGGTTTGCAGCTGCTCCACAAGGCAAACCAGTGCGGCAAACCGGCCGTCGGTGTAAAAAATAGATCGGTTGGACCACTGTTTGCAAGGAACTGACGAGAGCTTAGTTACGGTATGCATCCGGCCTTTTAGATTCCAGGAAGAGAGGTGACTTGCAGTCAGTGGGTTTGTCTGCGTTAGCTTTCGTTCGTTCTTATCAACCGGAGGTTTACAATTGTGCTGCAGTAGGCGCACCTGTCGAGAATATCGCTGTAAATGCATGGTACTAGAGCGGAATGGTTTGAATGAAGACTAGTCCTGGGCTGCGGCCTGTGGCTTCTGATCACGCCCACCAGTCCTGACCTTTCTCACGGCTCGGCCGCATGCCAGAGGTGATTCACGAGTCGGGAGTCACGACCGGCCGGCCGACTCGGACCCGTCGGCCCGGGCCGTGACTTGCCGCAACTCTCGCAGCTCTCACCCACCACAGCGCAGCTCCGGCCCCTCACCTCCGAGTTACCACTCCCGCTTCCCGGCCCTGGTTGTGCGAGTCCGACAGCCTGGCACGCTCGGAACCTCAACTGGGGACGGCAAGATTTGGGCTGGTAATCCAATGAAACTTTTATTTAAGTTTTTATTTTTGTCACTCCTTATCGCAGTTGCAGTGACGGAACACACAATTACCGGGGTAGGAACGCAAACCATTGTCGTAACGGAGGCCCGCCTGCCATACCAATGCGAGCTAAGCCCGGCAGCAGGTGGGGGACACCCTGGATATTGCTGTGATGGCGGGTAAGAAGTATCGAAAGGTGCCACGCAAAACATGAATGAAATTTTTGTGTGCCTTTTTCTGCGCGTCGGTATTGCCACTATGCGCATGCATCACTGCCACACACCTGTGACCCCTGTAACTTCTGTAACGTGTCGGCACCGGTTTAGGAGCATTGCGTAGTACTACGTTTCAGAGCATGTTTGTGTTGCCCCGTCACAGCGCAGCTGTTCAGCTGCGACCTGCAGACGACCCGTTAACACCCGCGCAGCACGGTGTCCGTCCGTGACCTCCAAGCGCCCCGCTCACCTCTGTGACCTCTGAGTGCGTCCGTCTGACATGTGTGACCTCTGCCCGGCAGACCGGCGTCAGCTGGAGGCGGCGCAGAAGGCACACAACCTGACCGAGACGCTGGTGCAGCTGGGCGTGCGTGACTGGCCGTCGCTGGTGCGCCACCACCTGGGCTTCGCCGTGCTGACCGCCGTCGGCCTGCTGCTGGTCCTCATCACGCCGCTGGCCGGTCAGTGCGACACCTGGGGTGGGGCGGACTGAGGGGAGGAAGGATGGGGACGCTGGTGTGCGTACTGTGGGATGCGTTGTCCGGAGCTGGACACGGCCTACACCCACGCGCCGACTCCACGGTCGTCGGTGCTGGTGTGGAAAGGGCCACCAGGCCTGGTGACACGGTTCATCGCGACAAAGAATGGATGCGCGTCTTTTGGTGACGACTAGCCATGCCGGTTCGCCATGTTCGCATGTGTTGGTCTCAGCGGCAAGCGGTGGCCAAGCGTGTGTGGGGCTGACAGTCGACATTGGGACCGGGTCTGGGCCATTCAGCTGATTCCATCCATCGTTCAGTGGTCACGAATACTGCATGAAGAAACAAACAAATTGTACGAAAACAATAATGTGACCTCGCTCTCTGATTTGATGAATTTGAAGGACCTTGCTTTGAAAATTGATAGGGTGCGTACGTCGAGCAGTGGGGGATTTATTATAAGTATGGGTGGCCCTATGGCGGATGCTGTTCGTCTTCTGCCTCCGGCGTCGCGTATGAAGCCGTATCACATCTGGTTGCCATGGCGCCCGGACCCGGTCCGTCCCTCCGGTAACAAGGGGCTCAGCTCCGATAACCAGGGGCTGAGCTGGGCAGGGGGAGACGTCAGCTATGAATGCTAGAGGCACAGGGGAGTGCTTATCGCTGAGGAACGGCGAGCCTGTGACAGAACGTGCTGTGGGGGACACAATACAGAGGCACGTGCGAATGGACCGGATGGTGCTGGCGACGGCAGTGCCCACCGTGGGCGCGCTTTTGACGACAGTTGGACGTGCGCCGAGGGCGCCTGGACTGTTGAGCGTTGAGCTTAGCTGTTGTATTTCCCTTTCCTTTCATCACATCCATTTCGTTTGTCATATTATCTTGGTTTCGTTTTGTTGTGCGCATGATTTGCTGCACTTCTCTACCACGGCCAAATCGAAAAACGAACCCCCACCCCTGTGTACCAAGAGGAAAGGAGTTAGGACCGTCCGAGATGCGACCGTCTATGGTACAGCATAACCGTTATGAATGTTTTGAACTATGCATGAGCCATGCAGTGGGCTGGTTTATGTAAGTCAGATCGGTCTTCACCAGATCAAGCAATCCTAAACGTCTGGGCGGACAGAGTGAGCCCGAGAGCTCAGATCATGACATCAGTTCTGCATAATCCGCAAGGAAAAATGGTCATTTCCTGTCAGATAGAGCGGCCTTAACGGACGCTGATACCAAGGGCGTCACAGAGTCCTGGCCATCCGAGAACTCCCCGCCCCCCCCCCCCCCGCCCATCTGTCTGGCTGGGCGGACCGGTTGGCGCGTCGCCCCCCGTGACCTCTTGAGCTCGCCCCGGGCTACTCTGATGAGGTTCCGGCTAGGAGGCCGGCCGGTACGGGCCCCGATCAAAGACGAGCTATGCGCGACGCTCCACTTCAGAGCGAGGCTGAAGGACGAGCCCGGACGCGACCTGGGACCACAGCGAGAGCGAGGCTCGGGCGAGAGCGAGGCCCGGAGAGAGAGCGAGACCCGGAGCGAGAGCGAGGCTCGGGGCGAGAGCGAGGCCTGGAGCAAGAGCGAGACCCGGGGCCAGAGTGAGACCCGGGGCGAAAGTGAGGCCCGGAGTGAGAGTGAGGCCCGGAGCGAGAGCAAGGCCCGGGGCCAGAGCGAGACCCGGGGCGAGAGCGAGGCCCAGAGCGAAAGCGAGGTAGCGCGGGACTGGCGGCAGCCGAGAGCGCCTGGTGCAGCGCTCCGGTTGGGCCGCGCACCGTTGTCAACCTGTTGTGCTGAAGTGGCAGTTCGTGCTGTTGCGGGTGGTTTGATTGTGCTGTCCACATGCCCCGGGGATAAGATCGGTGGTCGCATCGGCGCCGATCGAACGCTACATTCTGAACTCCACGTAAACGGAAGGCCTCCGCCGTTCGGTTGGCAGATATCAACAGTTTTCTTATGCATGTTTGTTGAAGATGACGTCGACTGTTGCGGATGCTTTTGGTCTAAATGACGGAAGACAGATCACAGAGGCGATCAATGGGGAAGGGCGTCATATATATATATATATATATATATATATATATATATATATATATATATATATATATATACCACGACACCCACAACATGATCATCACATGTAGATACCGGCGACCCTGGAAAAGAATTGTTATATTTCATTTCGACCAAGTATCAATCAAATCGCGTGTTTCGCTTTATTGTTAAGTCTCCAGAAGGCAGTACCGTATCGATAATGCTTCTTGGCTAAAAGTCGCATCAGAGTGAGTGCTGCCAGTCACGTTACCGTTGCGTGTTCGCCGGTCGAAAATTTCACTTTCGTCATGAACCGAACCATGGCGGCGTTCGGAGCTCGTGCCACAGGTTTTTGTTTGGATAGGCCGGCATCAACAGCAGCTCCGTGTGGATGCTTGGGTTATTTGTCCGACCCAGATGGCTTGGTCCGAGTGGCGTTGATAGCCAGGTGATGTTCCTGAAAGGGATTCAAGAAGGGAGCTCGTCTGAAATGGATTCTGGAAGGGAGCTCGATGACGCAGATTTCCCATCGTCAGATGAAAACGTCCAAAATGTTTCATTACTACACCGTGGTAAAGGCAGTAGGAGAAGAGTTGTAATGCGTTTCACGTTGGCAAGGTCTTGTTCCTCCCTGAGGTCATGAAATGACTGTTGACATATCTCATACACTTTCAGGCGACAATTTGTGGTAATCGCACCTGCTCGGTTGTGCAGTTGTCTGGATGCACTGCGTAGCGCTAAAAACCTATTTTTTTGGCCAGCCTTTCTCATTGGTGTTCCGGTCTGGAATGCATTTATTCGCGGCTCGTTTTGCAATGGTGACCTCTAGTTGACATTTGTGCTTTAACGCGAAAATCTGGTTCTGGCCTCGTGACGTTGATAAATCTGGGGACGTGGTTTGGATGACAGGCACCTCAAGCATGGTCGCGGCCTGCTAGATGGGGTGCTTTAAGCGCTCGACTGTGAGATTTAAGCGTGATTTAGAGGGACGGATGATGCATTTCTGCCTGTCACACTGCCTAAATGGCAGCTTCCATGACCGATGAGACACGTGTGGCGACAAAATGTGTGCTGAACTGCCTGACCCAGGTATATATCTCCAACTCAGACTGTGCGGTGCCACACTGCCGGTGCAGGGCTGGCCGACCTGTGGCTGACCCAAGGTCGGGCTGTGTGACGCCACACTGCCGGCGCAAGGCTGGCCTGCAGGGCAGGGCTGGCTGGTAGCTGACTTAAGACGCCGTGACCCGAGTCGACCGCTCGACTGACTTCCGCCATCACCAGCGCTGGTGCTCTGCTGCTGTCGGCACGGTATTGACTGATGTTTGGCTGACCTTGGCCCATTTCTCCCCCAGGGCTGGTGGTCTGCTGCTGCCGATGTGCCGGTAAATGCGGCGGCGGCTCGGATGTATACGAGAAGAAGCGGGACAAATGTCGCCGCATATGTTACGGAGTCTTCCTCAGTTTTCTAGTTGTGCTGGTGCTGTAAGTATGCCAGCGGCCGTGGCGCTTACTCTCCGATAGTTTCGCTGCTGGGTGGAATTCGGACCGTCGCGTGCACCGACTGTCTTGATCAATCCCCCTGTTAATATCGTTCGGTTCGCTGCGTTGGACTCTCGGCTTTGATTGGACGCTCGTGGTCCAGCGGATAACAAGATTGAAAACAAATTTACTCGGGCGAAGTGCGAGAAGGCTTACAGTTTTTGCACCAACATCTGAATCGTCTGAAGCAAGATTTGTGGTCCAAAATTGTTACCAGCTTCTGTCCGTATTGGCAGGTTTTAGAGATCGTTTTCCTGATTACTAGCTTGTTGATCTTTGTGGCCATTGTCGTGATGCATTCAGCTCGCTGATGTATTACTTTTTGCGTTTGTATTGATAATTATACACAGAAAATTGAGATGTTTTGTACGCTAGCATGGGAATCAGGCTCCTTGCCAAGCATAACAAACTGTTTGGAGATCCTCCTGACAGCACCGTTGCAGGATTGCAATGCCAGTTCAACCGACAATTTTGCAGGCAGACCTGAATGTGCAATTTAATGTCACAATGTGGCTAGTGCGACTTCACGCCACCTGACCAGTGACCGGTCGCCACTGGAAGGTCACGGACGGGGCGGGATTTCTCGGCTGGAACCTTCACGTCTGTCACGCTTCGGCCAGAGTCTATAATTCACTAGCAGCTGAGCTACGGCCACGAATTTGTTCATTATTTCGACCAAGCCAGTCATAGGAATGTAAACATATGGCTGCAGATTTCGTCTCGCTTATTCCTCTTATGTTGTGCGATATTTTCGTTTTCAGTGAGAACGTGGCTCACGCATAATTTTACCATAGGCAAGGGGCATAAATCAAAGAGGATCCTTGAACACCGAATTAAGCCCGCTGCAGGATCGCTCAATACGTCGCGTGGCGTAAAACAGCATCTCTTGTTCTCGGATCACCCTGTATTCACTTGTTCATTTAAAATTTTACATATTACATCACACCTTGCATATTCATTGTCACCTACGTATCAATAAATACCGTACAGTCGGTGAGAGAGTGGCATTAGTCCCCGAGGTAACTACCTTGTGTGTACGTCCCCCAAGTGTGAACAGCACGCATGGTGAGCGCCGTAAGCCCAACATGTTGAAACTCAGTTTCAGAAACACCTTCCCATCCACCCTGATCGTTTCGCGTGTTGTGAAGTCATGTGTGGCCAGAGTGGTTGGTGCGATCACAGATTCTTTTGTGACAGCTGGTTGGTTTCGAAATCAGTGTTTGTACGTACATACGCTTAACATACGCGTGCACCAGCTCCTGATGAGGGCAATGCACATCACTGACGAGTTAATCTCACACCGTGTCGCCAGGTTTGGCCTGGTGGCGTCGTTTGTCGTCAACGAGTACGTGGAGAAGGGCGTGAAGCAGGTGCCTGCTCGCCTGCACGTGGCCGTTGACGACTCCCAGCTGTTCGTCAAGAACACCCGGAAGGTAGGAGAGCGTGCGCGGCGGACGCTCGCCAACGGTGGGCACACAGGCTGAGACGACGGGGTGAGCAGGCGGATGGAAACAGAGAGAGGCACTGGTGGATCATGAAGTGAACAAAAGAAACCCCATCCCTATGTTTTGTTTGGTTCGAGTTAAGCGGTTGTGTACCGAACGAAATCTAGCGCAAACGCTTCCCGCCGCCAAAAACCTCGGAGCATGGCTTTCTTGCCACTGGTTCGTGTTTTTGAGCGTAGCGCTGAGCATTAGCCAGATCATGTAGTAACCGCCAGGCGGATTTGTCTTTTGGTTCGAAGACTGCTTATAGCCGCGTTTATGTTTTTTTATTAAGTGACAAAGCTTCTGCAGTGCACAATGAAGAATCTGAGGACAGAATCGAGCCCATCAATGTGGGGAGGCCATCGGTGTTCTGTCTAAAGTATGCTTTGTGTACCTTGCTAAGGGTCATAATCAGCAGCTGATCCTTGGGATGTGCGCCTTTGTCTGTACCCCTAACAAGCTGCCATCCTAGTCATATCCGTTGAAAGGACTGATTGGTCTCGTATGATCAGTAATGGTGGAAACATGTCATTGGACCTTGGCACAGAAATCGTAGTGCACGTTGCAGAAGACCCGTTGGATCTGTTCTGTGAAAACACTGGGCTAAATTTATTCGTGTAAACATTTGAGATTCGGTGCCCTACTTACAAGGTACGGTGTCATATAGAGAAAAACAGCGCAAAGCAAGAAAGCAAATGAACAGTGTATTGAATGTCGGGAAGGCGTAATTCATTGTTAAAGTTCGCGGGCCCGACAACAGATTGTCGCTGCGGCAGTGGCTTCTAGCCTGGGTGACCAGAAGTTGAGGCTGGGCCGCCGCGGTCGCCTCACTCCGAGCTGCCGTCCCGTGACCGCGCGCGCGCCGTGTGGTGGTGGCAGTGCCTTGGCGGGTGGCCAGCCGCCGCTCGGGGCCGGCTCGGACGCTATACTGGGCGGCGTTTGCTGGCGCATACGACCGCCGCCGTAGTGTTTCGCCGCGTACAGGTCCCGCCGCGGCGCCGTGCAGTCGCGGCTGCGACCCGGCCGCCTCTGCGCCGTGCAGTCGCGGCTGCGACCCGCGCGGCCGCCTCTGCGCCGTGCAGTCGCGGCTGCGACCCGCGCGGCCGCCTCTGCGCCACCAGAAACTTGTCGCGGCCCTCGTGACGGCGCTATGCATGGTAGCGCAACGTGGCCCGCTCGTCTCGTGATTACACCCCGAGTTTGACGCCCATTGTCCCGCCTGGCGTGGTCCCGTCCGGCTCATGCAGTCGTCGTGTGGCTGGGCGCAGCTCGGTGGCGTGCAGGATCGGCGCCAGGGTTGGGTCCTAGCCGGCGGCGCTCGCGGCCGGCTCGCTCCCGCGTGTTTCGGCGTCTGGCGCCGGTCCGAGTCGGTGCGTGCGACCGGTCGGCGGTCGGGCGCCGGAAGCGAGCGGCATCGATCTGCGCCAGTATTGCCGTCCGTGCGTCGGAATTGGCCACTGTGCGCCGCTTGATCAATGGTGGACAAGCCGGCATCCCGGGCTGTGTGGGCTTCCCCGGTCCTCTGCTGCCGATGGCCGACCGATGATGGTCATTGGTTACCATTTGCTGACACTGGGCACCGGCCACCAGTTCAGCTGACACTGGGCACCGGTCACCAGTCCAGCTGACACTGTGCACCGGTCACCAGTCCAGCTGACACTGGGCACCGGCCACCAGTTCAGCTGACACTGGGCACCGGTCGCCAGTCCAGCTGACACTGGGTACCGGTCACCAGTCCAGCTGACACTGGGTACCGGTCGCCAGTCCAGCTGACACTGGGTACCGGTCACCAGTCCAGCTGACACTGGGTACCGGTCGCCAGTCCAGCTGACACTGGGTACCGGTCACCAGTCCAGCTGACACTGGGTACCGGTCGCCAGTCCAGCTGACACTGGGTACGGTCCAGTCCAGCTGACACTGGGTACCGGTCGCCAGTCCAGCTGACACCGGACGCTTAGTCGGTGGAGGTAATCGGGAGACGTTAATCCGCGTGCGGAGCTGGACATGCAAAGGCACGAACATCTGAACATCCATAATGCGGCTGTGATGTAAACGATTCGATATGTTCGGTTTTTTTGACGTGATACGGTTTGCGTGTCGAGCATCACTAAGGCAGTCTCACTGTTCTGATATGTCATATATGCCCAGCATTGTGCGTCTCCTATGACAGATCGTAACGCTGGGTACTGCGGCCAATAGATCGTTTATACGACCCCAGGCGTTGGTTACCAGTCATAGTTCCTCTTGACTCTGAAATCGCCGACAGTTAATTTGCAAACCTGTGTTTGGTCGGCGCGCCATGCTCCTGACTCATAGCACCCGTTGATCACTCCACGTGTCATGCCTTGCCCGTGAGCTGAGCCCCTGCTGTAGGTGTCCAGCATCCTAGCACAGCGCTTGACCGCCAACCGACTCAGTCACCGGCGTCGTCCGGGGCTCAGTTCAGTCTCAGTCACCCGTATCGTCCATGGCTCAGTTCAGTCTGTCACGCGTGTCGTTTGTGTTTCGGTGCAGTCTCAGTCCCGGCGTCGTCCGGGGCTCAGTTCAGTCTCAGTCCCGGCGTCGTCCGAGGGCTCAGTTCAGTAACTCACGGTGCCGAAAGCACGTCGTTTAGCTAACCGTTTGTGACGTCTGTACGAGACGGTAAGGGGTCCACTCCAGCCCATCCACCAATGCGGGACGGGTCTTTGTGTTACACATTGTTTGTGTCCACTGGAGGTGAGCCAGCCGCTCACATTGTGTGTCTGTCTATGTCGGCAGGAGGTGAACCACCTGCTGGTGGACAACTACCGCGAGCTGCAGGGGGTGCTGGACGAGTCGCTGGACAGTGAGTGCCTGCAGACTAGCACCCGTCACGGCGGCCGATGGACGCTCAAAGCGGCCGGCGTGCGGTGCTGGGGCTGGAGCTGGGAGGACATGCGGTGCTGGGGCTGGGGCTGGGGGCTGGGGCTCAGGCTGGGGGCTGGGAGGACATGCGGTGCTGGGGATGGGACTGGGGATGGGGCTGGATCTGGATCTGGAGCTGGAGCTGGAGCTGGAGCTGGAGCTGGAGCTGGAGCTAGAGATGGAGCTGGGGCTGGGGCTGGGGCTGGGGGCTGGGGCTGGAGGCTGGGGCTGGAGCTGGAGCTGGAGCTGGAGCTGGAGATGGGGCTGGAGCTGGAGCTGGAGCTGGGGCTGGAGCTGGGGCTGGGGCTGGAGCCGGGGCTGGAGCTGGGGCTGGGGCTGGGGCTGGGGCTGGGGCTGGGCTGGGCTGGGCTGGGGCTGGGGCTGGAGCTGGGAGGACATGCGGTGCTGGGGTGGTAGGACGTGAGGTGCTGGGCTGGTAGGACGTGAGGTGCTAGGCTGGTAGGACGTGAAGTTTTTGGGGCTGGGAGGGTGTGAGGTTTTGGGCTGGTAGGACGTGAGGTATTGGGGCTGGAAGGACGCGAGGGGCTGGGGATGGGAGAACGTAAGGGACTGGGGCTGTGAGGACATGTGGTGATGGGGCTGGGAGGACATGCGTTGCTGGAGCTGGGAGCATGTGCGGTGCTGGGGCTGGGGGGACTTGTTCAGGGTCTGCGAGCGTTGTCGGTCGTAGTCACACCATTCCAGCGCCTTCGGTGTGAAGCAGATTGCACACAGTCTGACGTTAAACTTGAAGGCGTCATGTTTCCCACCAAGAACGTCGTGTGCGGTGATGATTCGCCATTAGCGGAGGGCGCGGGTGTTGACCTCCACAGACTGATGGCTCCCGCGTCGTGAGCGTTTGCCGTCTGTATGTGTGCCGCGCATTACGCCTGCCCCGCCAGGCGCCGCTTTCACCGCGGTCTGGCTCCGTGACCCCAGTGTGCACCGGCTGGCGGTTCTGGTCGCCGACGGCAGCCGCGCTGACCACTGTGCGCTCGCCCGGCAGAGTGCGGTGACCGGGTCAAGGCCAAGCTGGCCAACATCTCTCGTGCCGTAGCCGTGGACGACCTAGCCGCCATCGCCGAGGGCCTGCGGGACATACGGCGAGATCTGAACGTGCGTGAGCCCCACTTGCCTTCCCGGCCGCGTTTGTCGTACTTTGTTGTACTGGTTTGCCTTTCCTTGTGACTGCCGAAAAATTATGTCATAGCGTATGTATCGTGGAATTGAATTTCCCATGCGTGCATAGTAGCGATCACTGTGCACGGTTCTGTGCGGCTGGACACAGTCTCGGTGATCGCACTCCAACCGTGAGCTGTATTTCCCTCAGAAAACCTACGTAGTACGTGTGCCCACGCTCTTACATAACATCGCGGCGTAGTGCGAGCCCAGCGCACGCCGTCCGCGACCAGCCACCAGCGCCTGCGCTTCCCCGCGCTGCTCCGCGTCTGCCTGACCCGCCTGACCCCTGTCCGCGACCAGCCACCAGCGCCTGCGCTTCCCCGCGCTGCTCCGCGTCCGCCTGACCCGCCTGACCCCGGCCGGCCGGTCTCTGCCGCAGGCGATCGCCGACCAGACCCAGCAGCTGCAGGTGCGGGCCGACCAGCTGACGGTGGGCCTACAGGGTGTGCAGGCTGAGCTGTCCAGCCTGCTGCTGCTGTGCAGCTCGCCCGCCTGCCAGCAGCTGGAGCGCCAGTACAACCTCTCCCAACTGGCCGTGCAGAACGAGTTCAGACAGGTGAGGGAGAGAGAGTGGGGTACTGAGCGGACAAGGGACTGTGCCAATGGAGGGACTCGGAGGCGGCTGCAAAGAAGGAGCAAACGGAAACGAAGGCAGGGACAAGTGCAGATAACGAAGGGGACTCGGAGACGGGTGCAAAGGGAGTGGGAGGCGATAATTTTACAAAAAGAGGGGGAAAGGGTGGAGACTTTGATAAATGCAGGAGCAGATAGGCACTGGACACGGAAATAGACACTGAAGAACAAACACCCTTAGTTTGTCAAGGACTCACAGGAAACGCAGATGGTGTGTGCGGAGGGATGGGAGACGAAGACAGACGGACGGGGGTAGCAAGAGGATGTAGGAATGTGTTTCAGGATGGGAGCAGTTACAAACGGCGCTAAGATAATTGCAGAGATGATGAGCACGCGGAGCACAAGGAAGTAGGAAGGCAGGAACAGGGGTGCGAGAAAATGGATACACAGGTGGCTTGGAGACGATTGTCGAGAGAACATGATAAACGGCACAGAGGCGTCTCAATAGAAGAAGATAGAAATGTCTGGGTTCGGGGGAGACTCTCGGAGAGTGACAAGCAAAGGGAGCTGACAGGTAAGGCTCGTGTCTTGTGGTGTACGATGGGGACAGTATTGGCGATATTATGCCCGGACGTTTGAATCTCCAAGGGCGTTTTGTTTGCCGGTCGTGAGCTTCGTCTCTTTTCTCTTCTGTGGGCGATTTCTGCTGATCTTAAACCTTCGCACATGCTCCTTCAATCCTGCACTTGTTTCATGTACCTTCAAGTACCCCTTCTGTGCTTTCAATTTTGGTCTGTCTTTTCCTACCGTCCACATGTCGGGCAGCCGTCGCTCTCAGACTGTCGACTGCTGATCTAACTCATATGCGTGGAAATAACAGCGCCTTCCTGCGGTCGCCGAGGGCCTTCCTCATCCCCCAACTAACCACCGCTCGGCCATGTTTCCAGTGGCTTGCTTACGACCTGCTGCCGAAGGTAACGTACTAACATCGCTTTATGGGCCGGTTGCACGAAAGTCACATGGTGGCCATAAGTCACGCCACCGTTACTGAGAACTAGCACGGCGTATTCCTGCACGGCGGTCCGCGCGCCCAGAAGCTGTGTAGTTTCGCGTGCCCACGAGCCACAACAGGCACGCTGAGTCAGACTCGAGACGCGCATGCTCATTAGCCGTAGTAGTGCGCCGCCGGCCGCTGTAGCCGCTCGTTCCTACTCGCGAGTCGTCAGAGTCACGCCTGGCCAGGCACCGCGGTTGAGCACGTTAACACGTCCGGTCACGCACCGTATCCGCGAGTCACTGTGGACGCGGAAGTCAGGCGTGCCCGGCCTGGAGCTGAACTTTGTTGGAGCTCGTCAGATACGGCTGCCTCGCTCTGCGGTCCAAGCGTCGCTTGTCCGTGGGGTACAGCGTGTAGTCCTCTGCGGCCCGAACGTCGCTTGTCCGTGGGGTACAGCGTGTAGTCCTCTGCGGTCCGAGCGTCGCTTGTCTGTGGGGTACAGCGTGTAGTCCTCTGCGGTCCAAGCGTCGCTTGTCCGTGGGGTACAGCGTGTAGTCCTCTGCGGCCCGAACGTCGCTTGTCTGTGGGGTACAGCGTGTAGTCCTCTGCGGTCCGAGCGTCGCTTGTCTGTGGGTACAGCGTGTAGTCCTCTGCGGTCCAAGCGTCGCTTGTCCGTGGGGTACAGCGTGTAGTCCTCTGCGGCCCGAACGTCGCTTGTCTGTGGGGTACAGCGTGTAGTCCTCTGCGGTCCGAGCGTCGCTTGTCCGTGGGGTACAGCGTCCAAGCGTCGCTTGTCCGTGGGGTACAGCGTCCAAGCGTCGCTTGTCCGTGGGGTACAGCGTGTAGTCCTCTGCGGCCCGAACGTCGCTTGTCCGTGGGGTACAGCGTGTAGTCCTCTGCGGCCCCGAACGTCGCTTGTCCGTGGGGTACAGCGTCCAAGCGTCGCTTGTCCGTGGGGTACAGCGTGTAGTCCTCTGCGGCCCGAACGTCGCTTGTCCGTGGGGTACAGCGTGTAGTCCTCTGCGGCCCGAACGTCGCTTGTCCGTGGGGTACAGCGTCCAAGCGTCGCTTGTCCGTGGGGTACAGCGTGTAGTCCTCTGCGGCCCGAGCGTCGCTTGTCCGTGGGGTACAGCGTGTAGTCCTCTGCGGCCCGAGCGTCGCTTGTCCGTGGGGTACAGCGTGTAGTCCTCTGCGGCCCGAACGTCGCTTGTCTGTGGGGTACAGCGTCCAAGCGTCGCTTTTGCGGTCCAAGCGTCGCTTGTCTGAAGACTACAGTGTACAGTCCTCCGCGGTCCAGGCGTCGCTGTCTGAAGAGAACAGTGTACAGTTCTCAGCGGTTCAGGCAGACACTGATTTGCACGGGTGGACCGGCTCGACCCTGTGGTCATACGTGTGCTCGATTTTCAAGCGGTCTCACAGACATGCAGGCACTTGAGCTCACTTTATCCATGTTGTGTTGGTGATTGGCATGTGCTCTCTTCCAGTGTATGTCGACGTTGAGTCCCGAATGTCATGTCCTCTGTGGTAACAGCTTTCCTCCTGAGTTCTATAGTAGGTACCATCTTTGAAATGCACATTTAGTTCAATCAGGGGATATGTTCTTTCAGATGCAAGTGATTAAGCATGGCGTTTTCTTACATAGCGGTGATGAATTGCATGAGGCTTGATTTCCTTGCGTTATTATCATTAAGTTTGGCACCAGTCTGCTAGGATCCGGCAGTTGTGTGGTCATGTGCCGTGATTGGCCTGCGTGCGGTCTGCCACGGTGCTGGTGGATCAGTGTCTGGAGCGCGCTCCGTCCATCAGCACCTGCGCCATGTGCCAGTGTTTCACGGTGTGAGAGGCCTGGATGTCTTGGTGATTTCGCCTGAGACGCTCCGAGGACTAGCTGACCTGCGGTCGTGGACATTGGAGGCGTGCATGCCTTGTTTGAACCTCGGTGTCTATAGGTACCGTGGCTCTTTATATCTGTGTGACGTTGCATGAATTTCGTCCGCCAAAAGCAGATGGGTTCAACTAAAGTTGCATTCGATTTCAGGTCATAATGCTGCTTGCACGTGCCTGGTGTATAAGCTACCTGGTGCACAAACTAATGCCCCCATCATTCCAACCCAATGCTCATAGCTGTCATTACCTTGTCTTGTAACAAACATAGGACTGGCTCGCTGGCGCCAGACTGCTGACCGGCGGTGACCTGACCTGCAGATAGCGGACCTGGCCTGTGTCCGGTGCCTGTACAAATCTTCCACTGGCACCTCGCTGCGACCCATTGACCTGGCCCAAGCCGGACACAATCTCATTCATCTGTCACAGCTACTGTGCCTCGCCCCCGCCTGCTTGGTCTTCAGCTTATGGAGGCTTTGGCTGGGTCATGACCTGATCCTGACCTTAACGTAGTGGGGCCTCAATGGCTTGCTGCTGGCCCGATCCCTGCACTACAGCTGGCTGGCCGATCTCTGCATGACAGACTCTATAGCTGACCCGACCTGTGTTCAATGTAACTTCCCGTGGCACGTGGTGACCTGGCGTAACGTGGCCTGAGTGCTACCTGACCTGACCTGGCCTGACTTTGCGCTGCAGTTGCCGGACGTCACAAGAACGGCTCGCGAGATTTCCTCGCTGATCGAGAACGGCATCGAGCGAGAGGTGCGTGCAGGCAAACGGTCGTTCGACGAGCTGTCGGGCCGCATTCAGGCGGAGGTGGCGGCCGTCGTGCCAGAAGTGCGTCGCAGGATTGCCCAGGCCGGTGAGTTATGGACAGCTATTGCGGTTGCCTGACGTGTAGGCTAAAATGGCCGCCACGCTGCATGCTGTCTGTGGCAAATGGCTTTCAGTGGTCGTCATCACGGACTACGGCCTCAATCAGTGGTTATTGTGTGTGGGGGGTCGACGGTTTGTATTATGGGCAGCTACTGCATCTGTTTGACGTTAAGAGTCGCAATGATATAATTATTGTCTAGTTCAGAAGCACTTACCAGGCAAATGACGGACAGCTATTGCCCCCGCCCATTATCATATCTGAGTAAGAGCCCACTCATTAAAATCATTGGCTCTTCCGTGGAGCCATAAAGATCCTGTATCATTGTCGTCAGTGCGTTTATTCTGGGAGTGCGGTCATCAATCCACTGCATTTCTTTGGAAATACAATAAAGGCCTTTCGCAGAATTTCGCTACAGCTCATGTGGTTAGAGCGTCAGACATATGTGTGACTTCCAGGGCGAATCAACAGTTTGAGTCTGCATCCGTGTTAGAAATAGCGCGTACGTGGCTAGTCAAAAGACTGGCAACTGGTCAGAACACCGGGCTGCCCCACCATGATTGTACTGTGGCGCTGAAAGGCACGTCAAAGACCCTTTGGTACTTAAAGCTGTCCAGAAGTATGCGACAAAACTTGCAGGCAAAATTTAATATCTTAGCTGGGAAGGTGAGACCATGTTGTCTCTTCAGATAAGCTTAGCATAGATTGCAAAACGATGCGGGCGCTTTAGTTCATAGAAACGACGAACGCCATACATGATATACAAGAAAACCGGGTCAATCCAGTGAGTAACTGTTCGCTGCGCTTTTCCGACATATGTTGATGGTAGCTGAACATAACCATTAAGCGCATCAAGCATCTCTTTTATAGGGTATCGCGACTTTCCTGCCGTCAGGGTTGTTACAACAACAATCTGATAACAAAGCATGTGTGTTGGCATTTTACCAACATATCGAATGCACAAATTAAGTTTGCGAGTGCGGATAACGACGACGTAAACACACAGCAACCATCCTTTCGCTCCTCGAGCAGACTTCGTTCCTCTGCCTCCGAATTTCCGAGCATCATTCCTGAGCTCAACTTTTTCGAACTGTGTCAATGAGAGCCTGCGAGATTGCAGCCTCTGAGAAGGAGGTCTGGCCTCTCCATCGATCCGACTTGTTTTGGTGCTGCAGCGGCGGTGCCAGGCCACGGGCGCGACCATTCGTCGACCCCGGGGGCAGGCTCAGGCGGGCCGGGCGGCTTTCTTCGTTGTTATTCGGCAGCGGAACTGCGACAAAAGGGCTTTGTCAGCGAAGGCGCGGGGCTGGGCTTGAGGCGCGACCCGTGCGAGCGCCGTCGTAACGAGCACCAGCCTGTGAATCGTACTGTGGCGGCCATAACGTGAAAACGCCTTTAAGAAGGACATTGCTGACTCTGCGTAGTCTTTCAACTAACTCTTGCCGTATGCGTTATGGCGGCGCCCAACGACTTTGTACGGCGACTGAGTACCTGAAACCCTTTCTGATGACTCTTTGACGTCTTGACGGTGTGTCTGACGACATGACGTCGTGTCTGACGTAACGACGCTGTGTGGCGACTTGACGCCGTGTCTGACGTTTTGACGCCGCGGTCCGACGTCTTGACGCCGTATCTAACGACTTGAGGCCGTGACTGACGTCTTGACGCCGTATCTGACTACTTGACGCCGTGGCTGACCTCCTGACGCTGTGCCTGATATCTTGACGGCCGTTTCTGACGTCTTTGCGCAGCGCCGCGCCGGTGCTACGGTTCCTGAGCGCAGACATTGTCAAGGCAGCCGCTGACGCTCCATAGAGGGGTGCGGGGTGACATGCGGCGCGCTCTCTTTAAACCAAAAAAAGAAAAGCGTCGGCTTGACGTGTGTGATGCCTTGCCGCAGTGTGTATGATGACTTAACACAGCATACGTAACGACATGACGCCGCATTCTAATGACCTGATGACCTAGTGCACCGCCCGCCTGACGTCCAGCGGCGTGTGCGTGTGGGCTTGCGCGGCCGCTGAACCCCTCCCCTCCCCCCTCCCCGCCGTCGTCGGCAGGCATCCGGCTGCAGGACGCGGCAGCAAACATCTCGTCGGCACTGGACAGCGTGCGGCTGCGGCCGGCTCACGAGGCGCTGGACGAGGCCAACCAGTACCTGCAGCAGTACGGCTCGTTCAGGTCAGGCTTCGGCCGGGTCTCACGGGGCAGGTCTGTCGCGTGGTGGCCGGCCCCAGTGTGGCAGCTGTCTCGCTGACGCGCGTGCGAAAATGACGCCCCATCCACGGAAGAGATTGGTGGGGAGGGGCGGGCAAGCTCGAAGTTGTTCGCTTTCTTCAAGTATAGGAAGAGAAACGGGTGTTCTGTCAGTGTCATTGCAACCCCACTTTCTGAGAATGCCGAATATTAACCTCATAGCGACGTATGGAAAGAATCGGCTTCGAAATTGTTGCTGACAACCGTCACTTTCTGAGACTTTCAGTTCCACTGTCTTTGTTTCCCAGCATTGCCGTAGGAGAGAAGGGACGGCTGCAGAGGGGAGGTGCAGCCGCCTCCCCCGCCTCTCTCCGTTCTCGCGCTCTGTGCCGTTCACTGGTTCTGACGCGCGCCTACCGTGCACTGCTGCTCTTCTGTCAGCGGAGCTGTCCCTGCACTTGACACCCCGTGCACCGCCGTGGCGAGGCGCGCGGAACTGTCTGAAGAGTGGCCGGCGGGATCGTGACCTGCGACATCTCTCGGCGCCGCCAGGTACTATCTGTTCCTGATCCTCTCCGGCCTGGTGCTGATCGTCACCTTCTGCCTGGTGATGGGGCTCTTCTGCGGCCTCTGCGGCCGGCGGCCGGGTAACGTCTACGGTGACGACACGTGCAACAAGGGCGCCGGTGCAAACTTCCTGCTGAGGTGAGGCGACTTCTCTGCTCCTCTGCCCCCCTTTTCTGGGCCCCCTCTGGTCTGAGGCCCCCCCCCCCTCCCGCCGTACTACCTGGACGTGGGTCTCGCCGGCCGTGCGGTGAGAACGGACACGGGCTATTGTGGACTGAACGGCCCGCGTGTGGCGCCGCCAAGAAGTGCCAGCGGCGTGCCGTGGAAGGCTGAGGGCCACGTCGGTTGATGGTTTTAACGCAGCCAACTCGCTTCGTATTCCAGTTTAACAAGTGTGTTCGTTTGCCCGTGCGGCATCACAGGCAATGTGTTGTAGTAATGCTTTGTGGTGCTCATGTATGCGTTCTGGGTAATGCGATCTAATCTCACAACAAAGCAATGTAGCAATGCGATTGTAATCAGAGCATACCAGTTGTGTGTTAAAGTATGCTCAGGTACTGCGTGCACATAACATCATCACACACATAACAACACATAACATCAGCGTGCACCTGGTTTACCTCAAGCCCTGTTGTTCTGGCGTCCTTTCGGCAGTGGTGACGTCTCACGGACGGTGGTTGCGAGAATAAGCTTTCCAGCCTGTGACACCCGTGTGACGGTTGTTCTTGCCGGGCCGGACATGACGTGCACGGCCCGCCGACAGCGCCAACCTTCTTCTTCTTCCTGTTCGGCTGGCTGGTGCTGCTGCTGGTGACGGCCATGTTCCTGGTGGGAGGCCTGACCCAGTTCTACCTGTGCGCCGGCCTGGCCGAGCCGTCCTCGCCCGCCGGCGGGCCGGCGCTGCTCGAGGCCGTCTTCCCGGCCGACGAGCTGCTGCCGCAGCTGGCCGCCACCGGCTTCGACCTGGCCGACGTCATCAGGTCAGCAGCCGGGGACCAGGGGAGGGCCGGGCCCTTCATGCCTCCACCGACCCGCTGGAGGCATGGGGCTGCCTGCGGAGGGGCGGGGTGGAGAGGTGCGGAGGTGGAGCGGGGGATATGCTGGTCGGGACACGGTGTAGGTGTGTTCGACCTTCTAAGTGATGCCAAGAGTGAGTATAAACCTCTAGCTCAAAGGATGATCTGTAGGGGAAAAGAGTCTTTCAAAAACACCACGCCGCGGTCAATCTGTGCTTCGTCATCGTGACATGACGCTCCTGCAGGCTTTTTAACATGTTATCGTCGGACTTAGGAGTCATGCGGGTCCACAACGTGACGGTTCTTGGAGCTGCTGGCGAAAATCTGGAGACGGAAACTGGCTGCACTCATGACCGTCACTGGTTACTGTTGGTGCAGGAGATGTCACCAGAACCAGTCGATCTACAACCGTGCTGCACCTGGAGCCGCTGTACGACCTCTCCGAGCTGGGCCGCTACAAAACAGCAGCTGGGCATCGACGAGCAGCTGGATGCCCTCCGCAACCAGATACAGGTTGGCGGGCAACGGGGCTTCGTTTCCCACAGAGTCGGATACAGACCAGTGGACGGTGTGAATCGGCTGGGCTCTGCAGGCAGACACAGGCCGGGCGGCTTCAGTGCCTTGGTTGTATGCGTAGGCAGAGTTGCCGAGCGCAGATTAGTTGGTGCGGTGAAGTGGTTGCCTCGCACTTGGCACGCGTTAGTGGAGTGAAATGTGTTGCAATTGGTTGACAATTTTTTATGTTGCCTGCAATCGTTGAAAGATGTATTTCAAACTTTTCGAATGGGTGGATTTGGGAGGTCAGAGCTCAGTCTGAGCAGTGCACGTTGGGTGACTCCTGTCCCTTACCATATGGTCGTGCAACTCCAGGTAAATGGCAGAGTTTGTTGCCGAATGTATAACATGCCGCAACGTTCGGCACGGTCTGTCCTGTGCTCTGACGTCGTCTTACCTTTAGCGCGACCGCTGCCACCGGCCGCAGGCTATTCCAGTCAAGGGCAAATAGCGAGCGCCTTTTTCCAAAAATTTTCCTAAATCTCGAGCCACCACCCAAAGCTTCAGACTATACGCACGCTTGTGCACGACAGGGACCATCCGTCGTACCTAGTCCTGTCTCGTGAGTTTCACGCCCGGGGTGGTCAGACCGGGGGGGCTGCTCTGACCTGTCCACTGGCGCTGAAGCCGCTGACAGTCACGCCCCCCCCCCCTCCCCTGTCGCGAGGGAACCCTCACCGGCATGACCCGGCCCTGCTGCAGGTGGACACCGACGTCGAGATCCTCACGACCGCTGGGTAAGGAGCAGCTGTACGAGCTGGCGCGCTCCGACGTCGCCCGCATCAACTACACCGCCTTCACGCTCACGGTGAGCGCCGCCCGGCTGCTGGTCGAAAACCCTGTGGCGACCATGCGGCAACGGTTCTCTCAGCGAGAGCTGGTGACATTCTTTACTCGTTTTGCCCGTATCGCTGATGGACATTCCTGGTGTCCTCCCTGGAGGGCTTGGTGGATGGCCTTTGAATTGAATTTTGGTTATTATTTGAAATCTCCGAGCTGGCGATGCTGTTGGCATGGCCGGTGTCGGATGTGCGGCGAGTTGCCTATTAAATTTCGGCAACCCTGATCTGGGTGGCGACGAGTTCTGACCCCGGGCCCGGGTGGACCTCTTCCGTCTGTTTCTCAGCCGATCTTTGACCTTGACGGTGATCCCCTGATCTGGGCAGTGACCCCGGACCAGGGCGGTGACTTCTGACCTCGCCGGTGACCCATGACTGGAGCGGTGGGTCCTGGCCATGGCAGCGATTTCAGGTGGATGGTAACTCCTGACATGGGTGGTAACCCTGACCCTGGCTGACCCCCTCCCGTCCGTTGACCGCGCAGCTGGAGGACCGCATCACGGCCGTCGAGCTGGGTCAGATGGGTGCCGCGCTAGAGGCGGCCGCCAACCTGCTGCCGCCGGCCGAGCGCTCGGCGGCCAACCGGCTGCGCAACCAGGCCACCATCCTGGGCGCCCAGCAACTGGTGGTCGACCAGATGGCCGACATTGTCGTCTCGCTGAGGGTGAGCCGCGGCCCGCCGCGAGAAAAACGAACCGGACTGGAGTCGTGTTCGCTGGTGATGACCGCGGGCTCGACACGGACCGTTGACGCTAGTGATACGGTGACCACTGTTGCTGTGGTGTCATCGAGAGCTTTGTTTAGGATGCTGTGGATAATGCGCCAACAGGGCCTACTCAAGCACTGCCTCCATACATCTATCGTATAGCCAGAAGGTCGTCCCTTTGTCCAAAGCGTTCTTGTACATTTATGATGAACCGTTGATCTAGACACATCCTATGTCCATAATGCATCAGTCACTTCATGATAGCCTCGCACAACAATGTTCGTTTTTGTTTATGCAGTATGGGCGCTGCATGACTGCAGTTGACGCGCCCTTAAACTCTAAGCCACCACGGCTTGTTTCTAAAGCCGCCATACTCTGGCGTGGTTAGTGGAGGCTCCCGATCCACATCGTGTCACTATCTTTTACGTGTTGCCGCACTTTGTGGCTCTGACTGCTGAGCCAAACTGACCTCTCCCTCCCGGTGGGCAGAACGCCACCGTGTCGCTGCAGGAGCACGTGCGTTTCAACCGCACCAACGTGACGGAGGCCGTCCGGGAGCTGATCGACCAGGCGGAGTCGGCGCAGCAGTACCTGCGCACGCGCGGCGGCTCAGAAGTCATACAGGTCAGTTTCGGACGGCTCAGAAGTCACATAGGTCAATATCGGGCGACTCACAGGTCACACAGGTCGGTTCAAGGCGGCTCGGGGATCGTACAGCTTGGTTGGGTGGCGCGAAGTTATAAAGTTCTGTTGATGTGGTTCACAGGCCATCTAAATCCAGGCTCAACAGTCATGTAGTTCAATCTCTGACAGTAACGAAATCCTATAGGCTGGCTTCGATGACCGAAAGGTCATATAATTCAATCCTGTGTTGCTTCGAGGTCATTCAGCTGCTAGTCTGAGGCAATCCGGTGCCCTCATTGATCGGGTCGTGTTGGTTCAGCAGAGCTCCCGCGGGCGGACTGTGGCGATTCCTTTCTCGACAGGGGGTCACATATCTGACCTCCGTGAGCTCGCAAGATTTACAAGAGGTCATTTGGCGGCGACAGTCATGCTCAAACAGCCCGAAGCCAAACCGTCTCACGTTTCGTCGCTCCCGTCAGAGATGGTGACACCAAGTATGCAGATGATCGTGTGCGCGCGTATTGAGCGGGTGGCGTCAGCCGTCCCGGGACTGACGATGTCGGCTCGTCATCAGCTGGCGGACGAGTACGCGGGCCGAGTTCCTCATGCACCTGGACGAGTTCACGGCGCGCGTGGAGGGCGGCTTCCGACGCCGGCTGGGCCGCTGCGGCCCGCTCAGCACGGCCTACAACGCCACGTCCGTCACCCTCTGCAGCAACGTCGTCTACCCGTTCGTGAGTGCGGCTAGCCAGCAGGGAGGCTTCGGTGTTGAGTGGGATGTCGTGATATTTGACATCGCAAGCCGTGTGAAAGAGAAATGACACCCTTGACTATATGCAGATGAGCGAGGTGGACGTTTTCAGTGTGAATATTGGCTCTGCTACTTATTTAGTAACTTTATACTGATTGTGCTATTTCTGCCATCTAAGTAGAAGGTTGCTGCTTAAGTTTGATATGCCTGGCCCTTAACTGTAATTTGCTGTTCAACTTTGCTATGTTTATGTTAATGCTACGTGTATGTTTGACCATTTAAGTTCGTGGTTTGCCTAGTATCATTCACGGAACGCTGTGGTGGCCGTCTCTGACCGGATCCCCGGGTCTGTGGTCGCATGTCGTGGTCGCTGTGTCTGAGCGGCGTGTCAGCTCCCTGACGCGAATGTCCGTTGTCCAGAAACGGCTACTGGGCGTCCCTGGGCTGGTGCGTGCTGCTCTTCATCCCCTGCGTGATGGTCAGCCTCTGCCTGACTTCGCTCTACCGCAAGACGGAGCCCTACTCGGAGGCCTTCGTCGACAAGTGAGCACAGAGAGAGAGGAAGAGAGAGAGAGAGAGGGAGAGAGAGGGAGAGAGAGGGAGAGAGAGGGAGAGAGAGAGAGGGAGGAGAGGGGGAGAGAGAGAGAGAGAGAGAGAGAGAGAGAGAGAGAGAGAGAGAGAGAGGAGAGAGAGAGAGAGAGAGAGAGAGAGAGAGAGAGAGAGAGAGAGAGAGAGAGAGAGAGAGAGAGAGAGAGAGAGAGAGAGAGAGAGAGAGAGAGAGAGAGAGAGAGAGAGAGAGAGAGAGAGAGAGAGACGTGAGTGGCGTTGTCTCGGGACAGCCGGCAATGTGGTGTGCACCTGGTGGCGGTAGGGAGGCACGGTGCTGGTGACAGGCTGTGTTGAGCGCTGCCGTATTAATCCTGACTTTGCCGTCGCTAGTTGGTGCAACGCTACTCGCTCATGCTTGGATCCGGGGCTGTCTTGTGTGTCAAACAGCTGCGCTCTTTGAAAGGTCAATAAAGGGCCTCGCTTTCAAACGGGGCGTGGATGATTTGCGATTCTTCGGTGGCTGGGTTCGGAGAGGTCGCTGCTTGCCAGTAGTCTGCGTTGTCCCACGGCCAAACTCTTCTCAGCTTCTCCCGACAGTCCACGTTCCAAGTCTCCGGTTTCTTAAAATTAATGACTTAACTGTACGTTTTCTTTGGCAGGGTTTTTGCATGCTTCTCCTGTCCAAATGAGATGTAGTTGAAATTGCTTGCTTTTTAGCCGGTTCTTGGGCACGGATATTAGAAGTATTTTGATGTTGTGCTGGGATGGGGAGATCGCCCTGGGGTCGTTGCTGAAAGCCATTTTTAAATCATCACTGCTGCTTTTTTATCCACCCTGAAATAAGTCGAGCGTGGAATAGACTGTCACATTCTTTCAGTATTCAAATAGGCTGTCACACTCCTTACAGAATGTGACAGTTCAGGCGTATTTGGTCACAGTACATTAAGCCTATGTGGCTTGGATATGGAGACGTCATTTGGTAACAAAGTGTTCCCTGCTCGTCTTGTGGGACAATCGAGGTTTAATGCATTACCATACTTGATAATTGTTTTACCATTGTATTGATCTATCCAACATGACAATGTTGGAAGGAAAAATAAATGCTTTGGAAGGCGAACGTAGAACACGATGTCACATTCATAAGACCACTGTTTCACCTGAAGGACTCGGGCGTGCTTTCAAAAGGCGGATGCAGAGATGATGTTCAAAGTGGCGCAGCTAGCGCAGTCATTCCCAAGGGCAGGGCAGGAGCGGGCGGCTAGCAGCCAGCCACGTGCAGTTGTGCTGTCGCTGTCCTCCCGCCTGGCCAATGGTGCACGAGAATGATGGCGACGATTGCTGCGCGCGCCGCTCGCTGCCGCCAACGCCTGCTCGCGTGCTGGACTGGCCGCCACCTTCACTAACGCATCCCCGTTTTCAGCGAATACTTATACGACGCTTATGGCGATCACGATAATATCCCCCTGGCGAAGTAAGTGGCGGTGTGGTGTGCACCCCTGGGCGCTCGAGACAGCGCGGGCTACTGCATGGCCTGCCTGCCTGCTTGCCTGTCCGCTCTTTGCTTTCAGCTGTGTGCTGGCGTAGTGACTATTCTCTGCGCATGCTGACCGCTGCGTGTTTTAAATGAACAGGTTCGGTAGGCTGTTCGCGGGAACCTTCGGGCTTTGCGGCGATCGTTTTCCCTCATGGGTTCAACGAAGCGAATGTCGAACATGAATTTGAGGAAGCTAGCCCATTTGTGTTAGACGTTTTGGCCTATGCTCTCACTTTCTTGCCTTCACGCGGAGGGTGCGGGGATATGTTCTGGCGGGGCGGTCGTCGGTCGTGATGCAGGGATATGTTTTGGCGGGCGGTCGTCTGTCGTGGTGCAGTGTTTTAGGACGCCCGTCTGCCGGCTGGTTTCAGGTATGGGGTGACTGTTGGGCCTTCTCGACGTTAGGTATCTGCAGTGTTGGTTGCCCCGCCTCACACCTGGTGTCTGCTCGCTATCCCTCCCCACACGCCACCGTTGTCTGTGGACTCGCGCTGGTGAACTGTTGGGTTTGCGTGTCCACCCGAGGACAGAGCTCGTTGGGGTGCTGCTTCACCGCCTGGCCGCCTCTTGCCCTCCCCCGCCTGCGCTGTGACTTACTCTTCCCTGCTTTTAGTGCCATGTCAATCCAATGTACTTAACGATGGCCGTCTGCTAAGGCGGTACTCAATGTTCCCCGCCTGACTAGCGTACAGATGGTGACGAAAACAATAAACAACAACCTTGCCTGAGGCGGATAACCGGTCGGCCACGCTCAACTAGCCCGCTCCCAGAGGCCTGGACTTGTGCGCCATGTTGTGAATGCCGACAGTTCTGTGTGCAAGCGGACTGTTGTGGTGCCAGCTTATCCGCATGCCAGTCAAGCAATGGGATGTCGATCTCATGCCGACAGATCTGGCGCGAAGTCAAACTCCCAATTTGCTTTGATATGAACTAGACCCCGTTGCACACATACTTTTAATGGAGGGGTATCTGGTTAAATAAGCACAATCAACTGTCGGTGTTTCCAGCGCTCCCTATTCTCTCGCCGTATTCCCAAGATCCGATCTCGGGAGGCTGGACTGCCCGCTCCGTCGCCAGATGTCAGCCGCGTCGCTGAACGTCGCGCTCCTGTTGCAGTGTGCGTGATCAGCGCGGCGCCAAACGCGGCGCGGCCGCGGCCGGCGGCGGCGAGCGGCGGCGCGGCAACATGTACGAGAACAGCCGTTACCATGGCTACAGCCCCGACTCGCCGCCGTACACAGCCATTCCGCCGCGCGGCCAGCAGTTCCGGCCGCTCGGTGCCAGCGCAGACACCGAGGACACGGAGCCCAAGGCGCCGCCACTGTACGTACATCCGACCCACATCCGGCGCACATTCGGCTCACATCCGGCCCAAATCCGACATCAGGCTGCATGCGAATCTACTAACTCGGGGGAAGGATGTGTGCGTGCTCTTGAGGCAGTTGACATGCTTAAACATCCATTGGCCTGCTCCAGGGGCGATTTCCATGTAGGCTGCCATTCGTGGCCGGCGTCATGGTGGTTGAGCCTTCCCAAGCTCCTACCCTCCCGATAGATCGAGCATATAATAAGGACAGGGTGCCTGTACGCGCGACCTGTTGTGGCAGCACTGCCGTTACGCTGACTGGGCGACAGCTCACTGCCGGCGAGCGGCACGCAGTTGGTGGTGCGGCCTGACGTTCCTCTGACCCGCCGTCCTGTGTCGGCCAGGTGGGACCTGAACGGGGGGCCGCCAGGATACACGGACAACCCCAGCGCCGCCAGCTATGACCGGCCGCCGCCCTACTTCTAACCCTGGACCCGGGTGGGGTAGAGCCGCGCCGCGCCTGTGTCGCCCGTGACGCCGCCGTGACGCCCCGAGCCGACATCTGTTACCCCGGGGCTAGAGGGCCACTTCTCACGTTTCTTCCTGAGGAAAGACGGATTGTCTGTTACCGCGCCGTGGTGTGGTTGGTGGACAAAATTCGTCGAGGGGCGACTCGCCCGTGATTTGGCGCCGAGAGCCTGCAGCTGTTGAATGTCTCATGAAGACTTCTTTGTAAGGTTCACGCCGCGTAAATTGCCCCTTTTCTCTTGAAGAGCGCTGCCAAACAAAATTGGTCCTCTGAGCGTTGAGCTCGCGCCTCGGCGCTGGCTCGCGTAGCTCGCGCTGTGGCGCCGGCTCGCGTAGCTCGCGCTGTAGCGCCGGCGGCCGAGTCGCCTGGTTGCACCGCTGCCGACTGTAGAGGGGTCTGTTATCTCTCAGTGTGGCCGGGGAACAGGCAAGAACCAACTGGAACGCCATGCTGCGGCGCTTGGCCGGAAATCCCGACCAGAGCCATCTATTGTTGGCCCGGCAAACTTCACGTTCCGTCAGCCCCGCCCACTTATGAGCTGGATCAGGTGCGCGGCACGCTGCATTTTCTATACCGGCCTGGCCCGCCTGTTCTGCTTTGTACCAGGCGTCCCCGCGCTGCATGTTCTCTCCCGGCTGCCGCTGGCGCATGCGCATATGCCGTGCCCGAACACGCATGAGGGAAGCGAGCAAGGGACCTGTTCTGATTATGCGCGGTTATCCCGTCTGTTGTGCTTTGCAGATTCAGCTTATGTTGATGCTGTGTTGATATGCTCGTTGAAATGCGAAGAAAAGCGGTATATTTAGCCATGTATTTGGACAGCCATTGTTTGTCATATCATGCAAGCAAAGCAGCAAAGTCCCCTAATGCTCACGTACACCATGCTTGACCTTAATTCAAATTGATACGTGATAAGCCAGTGATCGATGTGATGCCATCAAATTTGTTGTCCGCCTGTTTTATGGTGAGCACGTGACTCTGTGGCAATCTCGCTGAGCTTGTGCGATCCCCGTCGTCTCGTGGGTGACCTTGGCTTGGCCGCCGCCCAGTGCCGGCGAGCGAGTCCTCCCTGCGGTCGTACGACTCGCACCCGTTCTTGGCCGCCGCGCTGGCTGACTCTGCGTCAGACTCGGAGTCGAGCCAACCCAGTGCGTTCGGCTCGGGCGAGGGCCGCGGGCGGTACACCGGACAGTGAGCGGACGTGGTGGACTAGCAGAACCGTAGTCTAACCTGCAGCTACCCGGCGTAACGAAACGACAACTCTAGATGTCTCCACCTGGCAGGGGCGTAGTTCTGCAAAACATTCGGGAGGCTGAGGCTGGCGAAAATCACTGCTAAGTCCGATCTCTTCTTGGATGCCGTCCATTTACCTTTTGACGTCAGGCGGGAGGAGGAGTTACAGTGCAGCCTGGGGGTCCTGAAGCCCCGCCAACTGAGTATGGGAGCTACACCCCTGCATTATTATGGTGTTGTAGCGGGGGTGACCCGTTGACTAGAATGCCTGAACAGTTGTCGCCAGCCCGTTGGAGAGGCTCTTATTACATACTGTACTTCAGTCAAACTTCATGCATTTAAACATTACTATTTCAGTTATATTGCTCCAGGATGTCTCCGTTAGTTTTTCCTCGCGAGGATGATGGTTTGCGCATTTTGAAGGCATAGATATTTCGTGGAAATGTCCTGGCGTTAACACTAAATATCTAACGGACTGTTAACGGATTTATCCATGCATGTAAGTAGGAAACTCGTTTGCACTACAATCTTCGGCGCCGCTTGTTGTATAAACGCGACAAAAGGCGCGTCGATGGATGGTACGACGCTGGCTTCTCACTTGAAATCGTCGTTGGTATACGGTTTGTTCGCCAGCGTATTATAGCTTTGCCGTAGAATGGCGCGGAAGTACAGACAAGCGAAAGTCACCAGTTCTAAACAATGAATAGTTACGTCGTGATTGTAACCCGCAATTATTGCCCTATTAACATTGGTTGGTGGCGTGATTATTAATTTCCGTAGTGTTTGTGACACGATATTTACAGTTTTGCTCGTGATCAGGAGATTCTCGGGATTTGTCGTCACCGTATCGCGCCATGGAATTAAGATTGGAGTGTTGTTGAGCCGAGAACTGACGGTGTCCGATGGTCGTAAGCATGTGATGCTTGCTGGGAACCCTCACTCCCACAGTATGTCTGGAAATAATTTGCCCAATGCCGGGCCGGGGTTGAGTCTGGACACGTCGTGACGGGACCTCCGAGGATGGACCTTGGACCCCGACCACGCGTCGCAGTGAGTTCCCTCGCGGTCTCAGAGAAACCTCTTCATTGGAGATCAACGGAAATTTGCGTGTAGCGTGGAAAGCTCCTGAAGATCGGCCCGCGCTGCGTTTGTTGAAGAGGCAGCGAGCCGATCACATGCCGCACCGCATCACCTGCCACGCAGTCTCCCTACACTACCATGGTGTCGGTAATGGGCGCCAGTTTTGTCGCGGTCGTGAGGCCGCGTTTCCCTCCGCTGCGCGGCGCCGGCGGCCATCCGCCCGCTGCCCGGCAACCGCCGCCGCTCGCGTACATGTCTGACCCGTGGTCCGTCTCGCTGGTGCCAGCGGCCCGACCGGCGCTGGTGCCCGCTCTGGCCGCCGCGTGCTGCCGCGCCCCGCGCTGCCCCACGTGGTGCCGTCACCAGGTCAGCCGTGACGTCACGCAGTCGTATTTCGCCGGCGGCAACCGCACGCGCTCTGTGTGGCCGTGGCGCAGCCTCCATGGTTGGCTGGACTCGCTGTTGGTAGCGACTGATTGGCGTTTTTAGAGACCGTCGTCACACTCGGACCAAGGAGAAGTGTCTGTGTTGTGAAGGAGCTCGTGCGTTGTGTTGGATTTAATGTCGGCCACGCACGCCAGGCTCTCCACATCCGTTGTGATGGAAGGCTGAACAGGGATCATCAGATAGGATTTAAGCGAGGAACATGTATCGGATGTAATGCTAAAGGCAGGAAACAACTCCTTTACGTGTTTAGGAGCTACAAAACTGCCCTATATATTTTTCATTTGGCATGAATCAAAGCATGCTTTATAACGATGTTTACTGGTAAGATTGTAGGCAATAGTTAACGATGACCTCTGATTTCGCGTAGCGTAATTTCGTTTATGTTTCAATTACAAGTGCTTTGGTTGTTAATGGAGCCGTATATATTTGCCTGCCTGCACCAATGCTTGAAGGAGGAATAATTTTGAACTGACTTTGGAGCGAAAGTTACGTGAGGTGAGAAATGCTGATGTTTTCTGTTGGTGTTAACTTGTTAAAGTGTCGTGTTAATTGTTCCTTCCTTTTTAGCTCGTTTGCAGCATTGGGAATAGACGCAAAGCAAGCCTCCAATGAAATACATTTGCTGGTGCTTGCTTTGTTTCCTCCTAGCCTTCCTGCATACTTATGTTTAGCTGCCATGTAATCCTACGCATGAAAGCTGTGATACGCTTCTCATAAATGAGAACACTTGCAACCATTGTTCACCACAATGCATATCTATAGTATGTGGCGTTAGCTTTTACCGCTGCGGTGGGCGGCTCCTTTGATGTTGCCTTGACTGTCCTGGCCATCCCATTTATGACCGATGAAGTGGTGTCAGCAACATGCCACCATTGTAAGAAAGGTAAGCTCCTGCCAGCTGTGTTGTCTCGTCATGAGAAACGTTCGTCTCCTTTGGCAGACCTGAACGTTCCTGAGTCACGAATGAGGCTCGGAGCCACCACCGCCGCTGTTCAGTGGTCCCATCTAGGCTCGGCCGTCGGAACTGCAACTTCCCGCCGGTGACGCGTCGAGCGTGGGGCGCGCGCAGCTTCGAGGCGTGATGGACTCGCGGGAGGTGACCGCCGCGCGCGGACGACTATGACCTCGCCGGCCGCGACTTTGACCCCGCGAGCTGCCGGCCGCCGGAGCGACGGCCGCCCTCGGCCGAGCTCTTGCCCGGTTGTGATACCTGCGATCTGACATTGCCGCCGCGCTGACCGGATTGGAGCGAAGCCGTCGCATCCCTCTCGGCCGGCGGCGGTGTTTTAGCGGCGCCCGCGCGCGCGCAGACGGACGGGCTGCCGCCGCTGTTGCTGCACGTGCGCCGGCCAAACGTTTGACCTGGGGCGGGCGGTGGCGGCGCGACTGGACCCGCGACGCTGGCCGAGCCGGCCCGGCCCACCGCAGCCCTGCTCCGGCCGGCCGCGCGGTCTCCACCCACCAGTCTGTGTGTTTTGTAGAGCTCGTTTTATGCGCGACGCCGGGCGCGGCGCTAGCCTCGGCGTCGCGCGCATCCACTCATCCGCTTAGGCGATTTTTTAGCGGCCTCGTGTTTTGTTTACGGCGCGTCTTCTGCCGGCAAATGTTTATGTGTGGCGGGCGCGCCCGCCGGTGACCGCGCACCGCGAACCTCCGACCCTCCGACCCCGCCCTCCCCCCCAGTCTGATCACATCCAGAGCCCAGCGATCAATACAAATACAAGTGCCTGTTCACGCTCCAGCGCACCAGCAGCGGTTCAACCGCACGTTCCGCCGCCCCGGCCTCCCCCCGTCCGGCGGGTGTCCCCGCGGCGGCGGGTCGGCACGAGTGGACGCGCTCGACGGGGGTTGTGCCCAGCGTGGCTGAGGGTACACACACGCGCGCGCGCACCGCCGCGGGTCGCATCCGCCCAGCAGTCCACTCATTTTGTTTATATATCTACATGTGTGCGTGTACAGGAGCGACCGCGTACTACCCAGTGGAGAAGTGAACATGTTTTATGTCATGTCAATAAACCATGGCGGGTTGTATCTGCGGGAACTGGGAGGTTCTGCAGGATACCGTCGTGGCGCTTCACTTCAATGGCAAAAAGACACGGACCCGTCGTCGTTCAAGTGCCTTTTATCGCAGCGGTCTCCTCTGGAACCGTGCTGATGCGTCCAATCAACACCAGCGTGGCAGGATGTCTGCGATTTAAACACAGCGTATCGCTCTACTGTCAGTCGTAAATGAACCGTAAATACGTGGATAGAGCGAGGGATTCGCCACCAAGCCCCCGGCGGGCGCGCGCCGGACGCTTGCGATCTGCCAGACGGAGGGTCCATCGCCTCCACATGTGACAGCCGGGGAGAACGCGGTGGTGACGGCGGGCGGCCGACGGTGGCGCCCTGGTCGGGAACCGCATGCATTACATCAGCACGCACACACCATAAGAAAACGCCTGCTACCCGGACATGATGTTGATGGTGACTGTAATTGACGCTGGCGTCGCCATGCGCACGGAGGACGCCCGAAAACCCTCAACGACCAACGAACATGGGTAAGAACATAAGAAGCGTGCTGAGAGGGACACCCAGGTCATGTGCTTCCCGCGGTTGACTTGTGCCGGATAATATGTGAAGGTGGAGGCAAGCAGCAGGTGTGCCCAAAAATTGTCACCAGGAGGTCAAATCTATCAGAAGCAGTCGCCATATTGCTATAAATGTGATAAATCCTACCAAACAAAGGTAAATGAAGTCCAATGAGTCGTAAACATCATCAAACATTTCGGAAGGTTCATTCGCACGAAAGAATCATTTGCTGGGTCGTGCCAAAACCCCGGTGGTTAAGGCGTAGGTCTTGGTGCGTGAATGGCTTGCGCAGCGGACTTAAGGCCGATGAGCACATTGGTTCGGTTAAAAAATCGTAAGTCGTTCGCATAAGCGGAGAAAGCTGAGAACTTGTTTGGTCAGCGGCTACATCACAGCCATAAATGGTACGTAACTAAACCCATGCACCATCTGCGACATATTGGGGCAATACCTGCGTTGGAGAAAGAGCTCTCAAGGGGTTTAATCCACACATAAAAACCTCTCCACCGCTTTGCTGTCATTTTATGAAGTGCGTCGGCTACTTAGGGCCATTTTGCCATGTGGCGTACATTGCTGTCTTCGATCCACCTGTGTTATCTGGTGAAAATCTTCTCGCATTTGCAGACTGGCCAAGTAAATAATGGAGTTGGCACATTAAAAACGTGACAAGATGCCTAGGTAGCCGACGCGCTTCATAAAACTAATCAGTGCCAAAAGCATGAGGCACTTACGGGATTTTATTTCGTACAAAATGAACTTGATGTTAATAAGAATACAGGGTGTGCAGCATCCGATTGATCCCGTTCGTCGCAAGGTGTTGGGGCCAGCCACGATTCTTGCGACTAGTAATGAGTCTAGTTATTTTGGCAATTTATACGGCTTAGGATGTGAAGTGAACCTTGGCTGAAAACATATGTGGAAAGCACTGATCTGAAGTGATTTGAAGAGCACTGTTTCGGATCTGTGGTGTCAGCCTGATATAGCATAATTTGTAGTATATTTCTGGCAAGGTCCCTTGAACCCTGTCCTGAACTCCTAAAAGCTATCCTGATTAAAGCTACCCTTTGGTGTCATTTTGTGGCTCACGGGCTCATACAGGCGAAACGGTCGATTTTCCATGTGTTCTACACAAGCTCACGCTGCAAGCGTTTCAAGGACAAGAACGCCAATTCTAAGCTGAAGGTATCGTCCTAACTGAGAGGGTCATGTGAACTGTGTTGTCATTTTCGCTAGCTCGTTACCAAGTAGCCCCGAAAAAGCTCCCCTTTTTGTCGCCAATCATATCCTGTAAATGGAAACTTTTTCAACGCTGATGAATCCAACAGCTGTTGTACGGGAGGGGTTGGTTGGAGCATATGCAAAAGTTGTTCCCACGAGCTCCTTTTGGCGTCACGAATGACCTGCCCAGCCTCTGCTTTAAGTTGTTTGTATTCCATTAGATGGACAGTCTGTCGACTGCGTGTAAATCGTCCAAGTGTCATTGTGCGATTTCGACAGGCGTCTTTGCATTCCTTCGTTTCACATGAGCAGCTATACCTTGTTTCCCGCTTTTTAGCTGTGGTTTTGCTTTGCGATCTAACTAAAGCTTAAGTCCAAGTCGCAGAGTTGTCGATACCAGTCGTTTTCATTGAGTTGCATATCACATTTGCCCGGGTAAATTCCGTTCATTTTTTATTACATCTCATCCATGAAATTGACATTTGGGTTAAGTTCGGTCGTTTGAGCCATTTCGGGATGTGATATATGTTGGCCAGTGATCACTTGAGTGTATCCGTCAGGTCTATGGCGTCCATCACGCATTCCGTGCACAGCTATCCACTACGGAGGCCTCTACTGCGGGCCGCGGCTACTCCCACGATGACACTGACGCCCCGCTGCAGGCGGCGTGCCCCGTCGGCGTCTGGCGCTTCCCACTCAGACCTCGGATGACGAACACCAGCGCTTCTGCGCCACTTTCGTCACGTCTGCGTCGCTTACGTCGGCGTGCAGCACCCATGCGCACGTTGGAGGAGGACATGGGGGAACATGTGCACCGCCACCGGCTCCCCCAGCGCCTGGATCTCCTCCGGCGGCGCCCTGCACAACAGCGGGTCCGTTGGGGTCAGCGTCCGACCAGAGGAGAGTTTACACAGGTGCAGCAGGTATCCAGCTCCGAAGGGGTTGCATGCACAGAGTCATGCAGCAAACGCATCTACAATCTCCTACGATGTATTCTCCATCGACTAAATTGTGTGCGTTTACTACCTAAAACGACAAAGGCAACATCACATTCTCACACGCTCATAAGCTAATGTTGTAAATGTCCGTGCTGAGAACAAGGGTCCTCAACACGCTGCAAAGGCATATGAGAGGCATTTCTGCAACGAAGGCATAACAACCGGCGCATTGTCAAGCTACCATCGCGACAGACAAGTACCCTGCACTCAGCATTGATCTCTGAAGATGTATGATCGACTGTCGTTAGTTTAGCACAACCAAGACGCATCACATCATGGCGCATATCATGGTCCCCGAGACACGCCGACCGGCCGCGAGACCTGACCTCTGCGTGGCCTCTGCCTGCTGCGTGACCTGACCTCCTGCATCCTCTGGCAGAACTGGTCGGGCAGCATAACGTTCGGGTCCAGGTCCAGCAGCAGAATGTTGCTGTGCAGGTTCTCCAGGTCCACGGAGGCGCCGGGCTTCCCGCAGCTGTTGATGGCTGCGGACACCGAGCAGACGGGGCGTAACCCGCGGAACCGAGCTGGCAAGCGTAGACAATCGCCAGCTCCTCTTAAGATCGCTGACCTGTAGGACGCCACATTCAGCTCACGACTGTCAGTCAAGGTACATCTTGGACAATTTTCACGCGCTGATGAGACGATGGTGTGTTACACAATGCCATATGTAGCTTTGGAATGGTTGCCTCGACCATACGAGGATTTTAACCGTTATTGCAACTAATTCTGCTGACCTTGGGCGTGATATAAAGATGAGGACAAGATTAAGCCCGTTTAGAGTTTCCACTGGAAAACTTGATTTACGAGGTGGATTTTGACGCTCTCTTTTATGTTCTTAACCACAACGATGACAAAGGACTTCACATTTGATTTCCATGAAAGCCATTGGAGGTCACTGACATAAAATTATCTCGATTTACCTTTTATGTCGAGAAGCATGCTGAAGGTGTAGTTCTTGACGCTAAGTCCTAATAAGAATGGGAACATAATATCAAAGGTTTTTGGTCATTTTGAACTTTGAAGGCCACATGAAATCACTGGCTTGACATGACTCAAAGTGATCCTTTGCTTACGTGAAGCATCAAGTTAAAGCTGGTGGCTTGAGCAGGTCTGAGGAAGCTTCAGGCACCGAGCTCTAGTTTGCCCTTGATTGACCTTATCTGACCCGAAGGTCATAACCTAGAGACATAAAAATAGCACAAACAAGTTCAAATAGAGAACTACTTGCAATGTGAATTTGGTGTCCAGCTCTGCTAGTTTTTGAGATCTCAGTGGCCCCAGCCCACTCCAACGAGTCGCATTCAACCGGTCACTCGAGCGTGTGGTAACCGAAGATCGGTCCTTTAGCTAGTGTACGGCAGAGGTCGACTAGAGTTAGGCAAACATCATAGATACGTAGCCATCACGTATAAAACCTTAAACATTAGCACATGGTCCCAAAATGGCAATTTCAAATTTATTCCGCATCGGATAATCTATTGGATAGGTTTCTTCACTCGAGCTTCATGTAAGGATACCTCGAGAAGAGGTGGCTGCTCTCCATCTCAGAGCTCTCAAGTTAGTGACCTGTGCCCTCTGCGCCTGCCGGCGGGTGGTCCTCACCTTCGGCCAGCCTCCGGGCCCGCTGGTGGTCGTCAACCAGCCGGTCACACATGACGTCCACGGCCAGAAGACCAGCGGCGGCCAGCACGCCCACCTGGCGCATACCACGCCCAGCACCTTCCGGGTTCGGCGCGCCCTGACCGGTCACAGGCGAGGTCAACGGTCAGGTCATAGTCAGGGTCATGGGTCAGGTCACACAAGAGGTTATGGGCTAAGGCACACGCGCGGTCATGGGTCGGGTCATTCGCGGGGTTACGGGTTAGGCCACACGCGCAGTCACGGGTCGAGTCACTCGCGGAGTCATGGGTCAGGTAACACTATGATTTATGCTATGTTTTGTGATGTTCTGCACCAGGACTCTACCATGATGCATCTAGAGCCCGATCCGTGCTGCACCACTGCTCCGTTTGTGTGGCTGATCATAAAGTTAGGCACTTTATCTCGGCGGGAGAGCTGAAGCGCGGTTTGGTTGCTGAGCGTGCAGCGACGTGTTATCTCGGCGGGAGAGCTGAAGCGCGGTTTGGTTGCTGAGCATGCAGCGACGTGTTATCTCGGCGGGGAGAGCTGAAGCGCGGTTTGGTTGCTGAGCGTGCAGCGACGTGTTCTCGGCGGGAGAGCTGAAGTGCGGTTTGGTTGCTGAGCGTGCAGCGACGTGTTATCTCGGCGGGAGAGCTGAAGCGCGGTTTGGTTGCTGAGCTTGCAGCGACGTGTTATCTCGGCGGAGAGCTGAAGTGCGGTTTGGTTGCTGAGCTGCAGCGACGTGTTATCTCGGCGGAGAGCTGAGCGTGTTTGGTTGCTGAGCATGCAGCGACGTGTTATCTCGGCGGGAGAGCTGAAGCGCGGTTTGGTTGCTGAGCTTGCAGTGAACGTGTTTCGTCGGGCTTCCACCGCTCTCAACAACACCAGCTCATCCTCTGGCCCTCACTGCTTGATGAACTGCGCTGAGCCGACGATCAGCGAGCCCACCGAGGCCGACAGCGACTTGCTCAGGCACAGCGGTGCTGGAAGCAAATCCGCGGAGAATTCGCGACAGAATCGTCACAGACCTGGCGCAGAGACGGAAACTGATGGGAACAGCTTGATCTAAGACTAATGCGTTTCTTGCCAAAACGTGGGGATGCAATGGATGAACAAATGGATTTTTTACATACATGCAGGGACCGGCAGAGGGGGCAATTGTTGCCGGTCAACAGGGGGGGGGGAGCAGAGAGGGGGGGGGTGGGGCAGTTCCTTCCCCCTGCCTTCTGGCAGGGGGCGGAAGGCAAGAACATGTTTTGCCCCTCAAACATGTTGGGAGTCCCTTTTCACCAAACTAAAGGCACTGTAAGCTATCCGTATATTACAAACATGGGCCATGATCTTCATCAGTAGCGCCCATATTGTGTTGAATGGAATGCTCCACAAGTGAATGGAATGCTCCACAAGTGAATGTAATGAGGGCAAGCATCAGATATCATGAAACAAAAGCTCACTTATAACTATTGGTATACGTTTGAGGTAGAAAAGGCCTGCCTCTGACAACACTCTTTCTCTGTTTAGTAACTATGCTTCTCAATGTGTCATTGTTTGATTACGTCATCGCACCTTGCATAACATTGAGAGCACTTGATGGCCGTGATATCTGGAAATTGGTGCCTACGAACGCCAGAATATGAGCGACTCGACAATGACATTTGGTCTTGATCACCACATGGGAAAAGGAAACGGCAGGACTTGAATGTCATTATCCATGGCATCATAGATGCTGGTTGGCCTTGAAATAGAAATAGCGGAGTGCGTCCCAGAAACTAGAACGGTTCGGGTTTAAGAAGGGCAGGGCTTGTGGCTGCACTAAATGATCTTCCAGATGGCTATTTCAGTCCAAACCCCATACAAATGTGGAGCACTCACTTAAGGGAAGCTCTTTGCAGGCTTGGGAGGCACTCGTTGCGAACTAGAAGGCCCTGTTCTGGGTCCGGGGCACCCTTTATATGCAGGAGGTTCCATTTATGGAGCAGGAGACCCCTGTTCGTGCATCATGCCGTTGTGTCCTGATCAGATGCCCTTTTGGGACAATGAGGCCTCTTAATCAGATTTGGAGGCCTCTCCCCCCCTCCCCCCCACCCTTCGTGAATCAGAAACTTTCTCTTCTGGATTATAATGTTCTCCATGTATCAGAGGGCCCTTTTCTGGCCCTGTTTTCAGGAACTCCCATTTTAGGAAACAATACCTTGGGCTGGAAAAAGAAAACTCCGGCATTCTGGATGATTAGAACGCCCCATTCCTGAAATTGTTATTGTCGACATTTATACACTTGGATATATACACGCGACAATTTTATAAGGGTTCATGCCTTGGTGTGTTTCTTTCCTTTAATACGACCACCGCTCAAGGGCTCCTCTTCCCCTGTGAGGAGGTCCTTATTGTCCATGACGTCCGCCTAGAAAATCTTACCCTCCCAAGCCCCAAATCATGGCGGTGCCCTTGCATCCATGTATGGGGGATCCGAACAGGAAAACCCTAGGAAGATTGGTGCCAATATTTCTTCGGGCAGCTTTAAAGCACGGTTGCACATGCCAAGAGCTGACCTAGAAGGCGGGATTTGGTTCTCCCGCATTTTAGGACGTTCTCCCGAATTGCCCCCGTTCGAGCCTGCGCGTATACGTTGAGTGAACATTTCAGCAAGCATGTGGTACGACATATTGCTGCCACGTGACCAAGTAAGTGGCATGATACGTTTCACCCTCGCGATCAATCGTGGACGAATCGATGAAAAGAAAGAAAGAAATCGATTGTTCGAGTCGTGGAGAAAACAACACCATATCGATACCACCCCCATGTGTTTCGCATAACCGCGTAATGGACAGGGACTATGTGTGGCATTGCGTATATCACAGTGGTCTCCCCCAGTGCGGCGGCAGCGTTGGGTAGTCGGGCGCCGTCCATGTGACAGGATGGTACTCCCACCTCCTTCGCCAGAGCCACCACCTTCAAACACACGCCTCATTCATTGAGAAGTTCTCCGGAAGAGAAGCCTTACCTCGCCTTCGAGAAATTGAATAATCTGTCTAAGCTTAAAAAGAAGTAAGTTTATTGGATGTTTCCCCAAAAATTATATTTCTATTACCACACACCACACCACACACACACACACACACATACATAGATATATATATATATAATATATTATATATATATATATTCATTTGTATTAAGTTACAGGTTTCTTTATTCGACTTTTTAATACATGTGATCATTTTCAATTCTCTATTATCTGTCCTTCAACTTTTAACTATCTGCTTTAGCTCTATACTTGTTTTAAGCAACAAATTACGACAGGCCACGTCTTAGTCCGTACACCCGCGAAGCCAGCTTCTTTGCATCGCTCGCAACTCTCCCCTACATGAAACCTCAGCGGATGTGGACGACAACGGACCTGATCCAGGTAGTCCAGCGGTAGCACCTTGCCGCCGCAGTAGTTGTGCGTGTTCTCCAGGCAGATGAGCTTCGTGACCGGGTAGTGGACGTCCTCGGAGCGCACCTTGGCGCGCAGCAGGTCCGGGTCGATGGTGCCGTCGGGTCGGTTAGGCATCACTCGCGGGTGCACCCCTGCGGCGACACCAGTGGTGTTAACAGCGGATCGCACGGGTCGCATTTTGTGACCTTTTCAAAACGTGAAATGACGGTCACGATACAAAGTTTGAAGGTTTAGTGTCCAACTTTAACTGTCCAACTTCAAGTCTTCATTTACCTTTGAGTCATCTTCCCTGTGGGTCAGAAGCGTCCTGCGCTATTGTGTCCACGCCCTTCAGTTACCAAAGAAGTTGTTTCCTAGATAGCAGATGACATCGTCGTCACGGTCCACTACTTTCTAAGCTTCACGCGTGGTGAGTAGACAAAAAAATCGTCATTCTGTTGTGAAATTCTGACATTTCTGAATGAAAAGCCGAAACTCCTGAAAAAGTTACTCGAAGTCTCCGCAACAGGGCTCGCACAAGATGGCGGGTCTGTTGTTTTGTTGGCGCAAGGCAATCTGATGAATTATGCGGGAGCTGAAGAGCGACGCGCAAAAGTTCGTAAAAAAAATAAACGAAAAAAGTGATGTGAGAATCTCCCACTCTATACGTGGTTTGTGACTAGGGAAGCTATTCCATTTGTCGATATGTTCCTGTGTAAAAAGCGCTTCTGCTGGGAGCTCTTGCGCGGCAGTGCGATGCGAGAGGCGATGAAGGAACAGCGGATCGGCAAACGTAAAGGATAGGTTTGATCGTGGATCTGGGCATCGGTGACGATGCTCTGGCCATTGCCTTTCAGACAAGAGACAGGTGCTAACCAACTAATGAAGAATCGCCTGCTATAAACGTCAGCAGAAGTGTTCAGCTGAATAGTTATGCATTCTTGGCGGACTGGGCTCAACCTGGAATGTAACTGCACGCCTCCATCCCCAGAGCTCGCTTGGTTAGAACATTTGCCTTCCGATTCCGACCCCACCGTGGTGGGGTGGGTTTAATTCTCTTTCAGCTAAGTGGTCCACATTTGTAT